CCGATATTGAGTATTCCACTGCACAGGACATTGTGGCTTGTGGGAAGGGCATTTTGGAGACTATTATGAAAGTGGTGATTTGGTGCTTAGACATCCCAGAGAAACACTTTGCAGAGGTAATCGAAAACTTAAATTTATATCAATCATCTTCGTCCCTCATACTTAAGTGTTCCACCGCGCAGGCAAAGGCAACTTGAGTACAACATTGAGTACAGAGAGCGTTACATGGGAAATTCGTAATTAGTCATGTGAATTGAATATTAGATTTTTCATTTTTCATAAGTAACATGCTATTGTGTGGTGGAAGGGCCTTTTGGTAAATTGGAATAACATTATAAACGTTTTGAGTATGATTTGGACATCTCCAGGTTATTAGAGCTTCGATTGTGGGTCTGGGTACAGATGAAGATTCATTGACACGAGTTGTCGTGACTCGAGCTGAAATCGACATGATGAAAATCAGGGGAGAGTATTTTAAGGCCAACAAATCGAGCATGGACAATGCGATTATCGGGGACACTTCAGGGGACTACAAGGACTTCCTCATGACTTTGCTTGGATCAAACATTTGATCTGTTTGTTTTATCTTGGATGATTTGTGTTCTTTGTTGAGTTGGATGTGTTTTAAAGCAGATTTACTACAAAAAGAAAAAAATAATAATTATAAAGATGGAGTCGGAATGGAAGCTGAAGATAATAACAAATAAACGTTCTACGTACATAACCGCTCCTTGTTTCACATCTCCATCAGGAGTATCTGCACTTCCTCTGTCCAGATACTTGTACACATCTATTTTCTTGTAGGATCAATTTTGTGGGATGTAAGAAAATAATTGTCTTTTTCGTATGCCTTGTTCTTTAGTCAAGTGAACAATGTGTTGTGAGTTTCAGGCATGTACGAACAATTAAGTGGACTATGATATGACTATCTAGTTCAATCAACATACAACCATGTATGCATAAAATCATAATAACATGATACTCGATTGTGAACATTAATCTCATGTGAATAAACTAGTATAACACTTGTGATTACACAAGGGCTAGTTAAAAAAATTCATGCTGTTCTTTTTTCCTTTTTTTTTTTCCTTAACAAAAAGAAAGTGTGGGAGAAGTTTTTCTTTTTATTTACATTTCAAACATTTTATAAAGAAATGCATTATTAATCATATTTAAAATAAAACTTTTTACTTTTACGATTTGCCGGTTTTTTAATATAACAATATATTGACTGATACTGGATTCCTTGGTTCTAAACTTGCAAATTCCTCTATGGACTCTAACTTAAAACTCTTTTCTGATTATAAAGATGACTTTGAATTAGTAGATGCTACATCTTATAGAAAGCTTGCTGGTAGATTGCTTTATCTTACCATTACTAGACCAGACTTGTCTTTTCGTATTCAAGCATTGAGCCAACACATGTCTGCACTCACACAACACCACCTCACTGCAGCTCATAGGGTACTCAGGTACATCAAGAACACAATTGGGCAAAGTATATTCTATCCTAGAAACTCACCCTTACTTTTACATGCTTTTAGTGACAGTGACTCGGCAGGGTGCTTTGACACTATAAAAAGTATTACATGTTATCCTTTCTTTCTTGGTTCGTCTTTAATTTCATGAAAATCCAAGAAACAACCCATAGTTAGTATATCTTCCGCAGAATCTGAATACAGAGCATTAGCACGAACAACTTGTGAAGCACAGTAGTTACTTTATTTGCTTAGTGACTTACAAATTTCTCATAACTCTCTTGTTGTCATTATTTCAGATAGCAAATCAGCATTAGCAGTTGCAAATAACTCAATTCAACATGAGAGGACCAAGCACATTAAGATCGATCACCACTTTTTTAGGGAGAAACTAAAAGGCATCATTGATTTGAAGTTTGTTCCTTCTAAAGACCATGCGACTGACATTTTCACAAAACCCTTGGGCATTCAAACTTTTCATGATAATATTTACAAGATGGACATGTTAAACATCCATGCCCCTCTTAATTTTTCGGGAATATGGAAGAAAGCAATTTAGGAGATATACTGAAAAAGCAAATTCGTGGGAATAATGGTGCGAGAATATTGTGGTTGATTTTTAGAAGTTGGTGAATGTTTTGTTTGTATACTTGCATTAAATTAATTAAATATTAATTATTAATTAAAAATATGATATTCACGAGTATTAGTCTATTGTTAATTTGCTATTAAAAATATTTGCTATTAAAAATATATCAAAGTAATAGTATTTTAGGTAGTTCATTTTTTTACAAAAATATTCATCATTTTAGAGTAGTATAGATAGATATAGATATAGAGATAGATAGATAGATAGATATAGATAGATGTACACGTGGATAGAATCCAGATGTACAAAGGTTAATCCGAAATGCCAGAAACATCAGAATTTGACATATAGAACTACGAAACAATATAAGTCGTCACGTGGGATTTGAGAGATTCTAGAGATTTTATGAATCCGTTGAACCAAACATTCAACTTTGTTGTATGGAGAGTGGAATATTTACAAGCTAAATGACATAGCTAGTACAAATTACATTTATGAAGAGAGTCAGGCTACCAAAACGAGATAGCCAGCCATTGAAAGTGGCAATAAAGAGTATTTAATCCCAACTCTACGAGGAGGTTGGCAACGCTACATTAGCTATCACACTTTGGAAAACTAAACTAGGTAATTCACATATTACACAAGTATAAAACTGCGACTATATATATGGAGTTGATGAAGTGTGTGAGAGGCCGGGGTTGATTTTGTAGAAGGAGCGGAGGTAGAGGCTTAAATTGTTCGTGAAGCAAAACCAATTAATACTTGGACATGGCATCAACAAGGTAATTAAGTATGGTCTCTATATATTTGTGGGGTACTTTTGTCATTCTCCCTGATGACTAATTAATTGTTAATTAGGCTGGTGGGCAAAGTGGGGCTTGTGACGGGCGGGGCCAGCGGCATCGGGGAGAGCATCGTGCGCTCGTTCCTCAGGCACGGCGCCAAAGTCTGCGTGGCCGACGTGCGGGACCCCAACGACCTCTGCCTTGTTGGTAACAACAACGTCTCATTCGTCCGCTGTGACGTGACCGTGGAAGACGACGTGCGGCGAGCGGTCGACCACGCGGTCGAGAGGTTCGGCGGCCTTGACGTGATGGTGAACAACGCGGGCGTGCTGGGCCCCACCGCGTGTCGGGACGTTCGCGAGTTCGACGTGGCAGAGTTTGACCGAGTGTTCGGGGTGAACGTGAGGGGAGTCTTCTTAGGGACGAAGCACGCGGCGCGCATCATGATCCCGAGGGGTAAGGGGTCGATAGTGTCCATGTGCAGTGTGGCTGGGGTTGTTGGGGGGGTGGGGGATCACGCGTACACGGGGTCCAAGCACGCGGTGCTGGGGCTCACGCGGAGTGCGGCCGCCGAGCTCGGGAAGCACGGGGTGCGGGTCAACTGTGTGTCCCCTTATGGGGTGCTCACGGGGATGTCGTCGGCTCAGGTACGCGGTATGGAGGAAGAGGAGAGGGTTGAGCGGGTGCGTTGGCTGTATGAGGGTGTGGCGAATCTCAAGGGAGTGGAGCTGACGGCGGACGATGTTGCGTGCGCGGTGGTGTTTTTAGCCAGTGACGAGGCGCGGTACGTGAGCGGGGCCAACCTCATGGTCGACGGAGGGTTCACCTCGACAACGCACGCTTTTGAACAACTTCTTCGCTGAAAACTACTTTGATTATCATAGCAGACGGCGCGCATTACCAGTAGTGTGCCCCTTGAATCTTGATAGAATAAGTGTTCACGTTTTCCTGTAATATCTACTTTAATTTACTTTTTGAATAAGAATGATACCAAATTAGTTGTGTTCGCGTTTTATATTACACTAGTATTCGACACGAATGGGAATAAAGTTTTTTATACATTATATATATGTGGTGTGTTTAGGTAATATTTAAAATCATAAATTAGATTATGAACATACCGCAATTTATAAATTTTATCATTAGTAAAAATGAACGATATAAATATAAATTAGTTAACTTACATATTAATCTTATATATACTTGGATGATTAGGCCCTGTTAATTGGATAAAACAATATTGAAATTATTATTATTGCAATCAACTATATGTGTTTTTGAAGGAACTCTTGAAATTATGAGTCCATCTGTAGCACAGAACAAGAGTTCCTTCAATTTCCACCAAGCTATAGATATTATTCAAACACATGAGAAAGCAGCTTTTAAAAGCGGAAAAAGGCCCAACTGATGTTCTACCTCTTTCAAATGTTCATGCTATCACAAACTAAATGAATGCTCAGTTGGTAAAAAAAAAAAAATAGTTATATTAAATGAAAAAGTAATGCAAATCTCTCAACCAGTGTTCCTGATTAACAACAGCTGTAGCCGTAATCCTCAGGCTTCACATTTTTCACCCAGAATGATAAATTGTGTTTACACTCAAGTTGAATATATACTAATAGTTCAATCTTCTGAATTTGGGAAAAAGCACACTATGCACCAAAACACTTAGATGCTTCAATTTTCAATAATCCTGCAAGTATCACTTAAAAATTACCTTGTCAAGCATAGGAGTGTCACTGAGAAGTGACTGAAGCTGCCTATGGCAATTCTCAAGAACATTGTTATCCGAATGTTGATGATCTAAAACTTCCTCTGTGTGGCTATGATTATTACTTTCTTTCTGATTTTCCAATTTCTTTTTCTGGTCTTCGTAAAAGAGTTTCAAAGCATCCGTTGTCGAGAGTGACTGCACATGTTCATGCAATTTCCGAAACTCGCTCATTGTTTCCTCCGTTTTGACTAATTTTTCTTTCAACCCATCAGGTAAACACACCATAGCGCTAATGAAGTTGCAAAAAGAAAGAGAAAACACCAGAGTAAGAAAAAAGAAGTAGACAGAGGACAAAGACTTTTTGATTCCAAATCAAAAATTGGAATTTAAATTGCTTGATTTAATCTACCTGGTAATTCCTCTAACAAGACCCCAGTTGTATCCAGTTAAAATGGACTCCTTGAAACCAATATTGAACCCCTCTTGTGCAGCAGCTTCCTTTCCAGCAATGAGGCCATCACGATAGCCTATCTAGCTCAACCGAAAATTAGAATGAACTTATTATGAGAAAAATGAAGATATAATGCACCAACAGCATTCATAAATAGAATTCTGTTGAACTCCCTCAAATCGGACATGATTAATTAATAGGTTACCGTGTGGAATTGATTATGCCTCCTCTCCCACTCTCTCTCCATGTCGCATGCTTTATCCAATCTCTCGACAGAATTTTCATAAGAGGATTCATCATCGTACCACAAATCGCCTGCATCACTTTCTGAGAGGGAGTTGAAACAAAAGTAAGATGACTGTACGCTGTGCAAATCCAACTAGACATAAAGTAAGAAGCTGAAAGATATAAATGAAACTGAATTGAACACACCATTTGGGTTGTTGGTTGCTTGGGCAGCAGTTGGTCTTCTATCTAACCCAACACTTGATGACTGCAAGATTTCTGAATATAGATCATCAGCAATACTCCCCTGAAGCAGTACGAAAAATGGAAGAAAAAAGAAAAAGGAAAATGGAACAAAAGAACAAAGAAGAATAAGAAGGAAGAGAGCAGGAAAAAAAAAATCCATGAACCACTTCAGAAGTCTATTTAAACTAAATCAATCGAAATTTTTGACATTCCATGGTGGAAACAAATAAAAAGATGACACAAATAGACAAAATGTGACAATCCTGCAAATCCAGAGTAAACTAGTGCTGATCAGAGGCAAGATTGCCCTAGTGGAAAATAAATGCCAAAAAAATACATATTCTCGAATTTAACAAAGAGAATGAAATGCTAACTCCATGTATCCCAATCCTTCAACTAAACCACTATTTTCAATTACATACCAAAACACGACCAAGGAAGTCAAACCTTCTTATTATATCAAAAGGCATCGTTCACTATGTGCAGAGTTTTCTTGAAATCCCTAAGTATGTGTATAAGGCACTGTTGGAAAATAAGCTCCAAAACCTCGTGAAGTAAAGCCCAAAAAAAATAAAATAAAATATAAAATTACAAAGATGAGGATACCATAAATGCTCATGAATCTTCATTAAAGGGTACCAGTAAGCAGTAAAAAGGAACCATTAAAATGCTTTGTCTTGGAGATTAGTACAGATTACGTGTAAGGTGGCATATAATTTACGACTTCATCTAAAACCAGCGACTGAATACGAGTGTTAATAGATTGCACAATCCTTACCAGAACAATAAACAGAAGTCCACCGTAATATTTGCCATTAACACACCTCTCCAGGGCCATATTCAAGCAACAGATAGAAATAGGGAACACAAGACCGAGAAAACAGAAATAATCTACAATACAAATTATAACCTCCACAAGAAAAATATTACCTCGGTCCGATTTATATCCATGAAAAGCTGAGAACCGGTTCCAAGAGCTCTTCAAAAAGACTCAATACTCGGGGCTAAAGAAGAAAATGAGCGCTATGTGCCGCCGACTGAGATGATGAGAGAAAGAGAGATCCTAATCTATTATCCAAACTCGGCGCTGTAAAATGAGTATTTGATTTTCTGTTGGTATTTATGCATAAAAGAATTTTGGCATAAAAGATCACTTTTTATATGGGTAGACCCAGTGTTTTAAAACGTATATAGTGTACTGCGTCGCGTTTTGATTTTTATACTGCGTAGCGTAAAATTGCGTGTTGCGTAATCTATTCGAGCAACTCACTTTTAATGCAAAATATAATAACGTATATAACCATACAAGCAAATAAATAATTGAAATGGTCTTAAACCATAAACATGGTCATAATAGTAATTGCATATTTGACTGTAATCATCAGAACAATAATCACAACAGTAATCATGTAACATTTTTACACATAAACCATGTAACATTTTTATACATAATATTCTTGATGCAATGATTAAAAACCATATAACTGGAGATTGAAATTAACCCTTTTATACATAAACCGAATGAAAAGTTTGAAAAAAAAAAAGACCTCTTAATTAACCGAGGCATAAATATTTTGGGTTATTCAGATTTATAATTGTTTGACTGCTGTAAAAAAAGGTCCCCTGCAAAGCTAGATGCTCCCAGCTAAAGCATAACAAGTGTAGCATGCTTTCTATCCTCAAAACACAGCAAAGAAATAGGCAAGTACACATCAAAGAAATTCAATCCTCAAAACAGCAAGAATCAGTCAATCATTTATATCTCACTCTATTAATTTAATAAATAATCATGCCAATTAATCAGAAAACCTAAATCATCAAGTGAATGAAGAAGAGGCCCGATTTGAATTTGAAGTTCTGATGAAGCTATTCATAATCTCCAATGGAAAACAAAATACTACCTTTGGAGTCGAGAGCCGAGGAGCAGGTGATGTAGGGAGCAGCAGGGACTTTGGGGGTGGCGAGATGCGAGAGGCGAGAGGCGAGAGGCGAGATGTGAGATGTGAGAAGCAGGTTGGTTGTGAGAAGACTGAGGTGGAGCCGTGGAGGCGGCGGAGTTACTACTCTCGCCGGGCTGTGGTGGAGCCGTGGAGGTTGCAGTGGAGGAGGCTGCGCTGGAACTGGAACCGTGGAGAGTGCAATGGTGAAGAGGTGAAATGAGGTGTCTGGTTTCGTGGCTTTGACTGCCTTCTATATTTTTTTATTTTTTTTTTTCTGCCTATAAAAATTGATACGTAATTGTCCCAAATGGCGTGAGCATTATACGTTATCGCATAAATAGCGCAAATTTCCGCATCGATACAATGATATTTTGCAGCTTTATCGCACATAATTCTTTAGGTTTTAATTTTACTGCTTTGAGCATTTTGATTTTTTTTGGGATTTTCATGTAAATGTCAGCGTCTAATGATCTATATAAGTACGCAGTCACAACATGAATGAGACGTATCTCAAAATTTTATTGAATAGCTAAACTGATCAAGTATCTGAAAGTAATTGCATCTATAATAGAGTTCGACCTATTAGATCGCGCGCAGCGGGATGCATACTAGAGCTGGCGCGCCTCCGTCTTTTCAAAAATATGATTATACATTACTTTGTCATGCGTTCGTTGACATATTCATGTATAGAGTTAATAACCCGCTTCGCTCTTCCAGCTCTAATTTAGTTTTTTCGCAGGCATCGAGATTTCATAACAGCAGTTAGAGTAGCCGCTGCTGGGACAATACCCTAAGTAAGGATACAAGTATCTTCCAACTCTTCAATTTGTCGTGCGCTCCCTGTCTATACTAGCATTTCAACATGCCTCTCAATTATCCAGTCCACATACGTGAGGCTACGTGCTCTAGAAAGTTAGGGATAAAAGTCTCATCAAAAGGGCCACCGGGCACTGGGCCTGTAACAACCAAGGCTTCCTCAGTTCCAGTCCAAGATCGTTTGCTAGTATCTGCATTATAATACAACATATATATACGACATATTGTGACTGACTGTATCAATGATATGTTATTATTAAATAAAAATATTTAATGATAAACAAAAATAAGTGCATAAATTATTTACTTGAGGATCCAGTGCTCGCAAAACGTCCCCCACATGGAGGAGCAGGTCGGTCAGGAGCCTGTCGTGGGGGAGGAATGTTGTAACACCCCGCCTAAACTTACTAAAACCAAAGTAAATTTTTCGCGCTATAAATGGAAAACACTGATTTAATTTTCGAAAACTCAATTTAACTTTGTCGAAAATACTTTAATCTGATTGCGGGATGCTACTCAACTGAATTGAATTCTCAATTCTGTTCTCAGTTACTATTATGCATGCAACCGAGATATAGTTCATTACTCTAATAAGGCACCATGAAAATCTCAGGATTTTAGGCATACATAAATTGAAAATCTGAATACTGAATATTGTTCTGAATGCGGAAGCAAATATAAGCATGCATCAACAGAACATAATAATTCAAACATGTTCAAATATACATAACATTTTAATAAAAATGTCCTCGCTATGACCACCACCACTCATCGGCTCACGCTCCACGCTCGACACCATCACCTGAAAAATGGTTAGTGGGGGGGCGTGCGCATAAATGAATCAACGATGCTCCTTCGGAACCGACACTGAATATACAACTAATATAATGATGGAGACGAGATCTCTCTCGCGTTCCTCGATAAATATGATCGGATGCCGTTGCTTAATTAATTATTTTATTACCTATTTCCTTATTATAAGTAGATTTCCATATTTATGTTATTTAGAGTTAGGAAAATATTTATGTGGTTTTATCTTATTTAGCAAGTTAGGTTTGTGGGGAGTCTAAGATTATATATATCTGTATTCTCTTCAATATCAGACGGTGAATGAATTTGAGTTTTTTTTATATTGTGAGTTCTTCATGAGAGAGTATCTCGTATCTTTCCCGTTCTTATTCACGTTCTACATCAGATGGTATCCAGAGACCAGCCACGATCCGCGATGCTTGTTCGCAAAATATTTTCACTATCCGCAAGTGTACGGTATAGCTGTAGTGAGTGGCGAGCAAGGTCGTATTCCACAGAGATTGTTGTCAAAATAACTAAGTATCAAAATGTAAACGATTAAATATTATTCAGTCTAATGCAAATTTGAATGGTGATTTTATTCTAAACTAATGAATGATTGCAAAATAAATTCTAACACTAATGAAGGCTTGTTCTAAGATAAATCAAGAATGAGAAAATAAATTCTAGGCTATGCTTTCCTCGGGATTATTCTAACAAAGATTAATTATTCATTCAAACCTTATTTAATTCTACCATTCGTAGGGATAATCACTAAAGTAATTTACACCTTTCTCTCGAACAAATTAAATCGTAGATATTAACTGTTATCTATCTCCTCTCGGTCTCAAGATAAACAGTCAACTCCCAAATGCTCCTAAGATTCTAGTTCCCTCGCAAGATTCTATCAACCTCTCGGTCTGTTTAGTCTCTTACGTTATGAATTTCCCAATTCTAGCAATTAACTATCTCCTCTCGGTTTCAAGTCAATCACAAATATGCATAAATATGGGCCCTTATATTCACACAATTAATAAAGCACAAGAAATTGATAAACGAATGATAAACCGGAATGAATAAACAAAATCACATCATAAAATACTCCGAGTACTCGCAAATCCTAGAATCCCTAAAAGGTTTAGCTACTAAACATATTCTCAAAACTCAAAATAAATAAATCCATGAGTTCAATGAGAAGAAAAAGAGAAAAGAAAGAAGAACTATTGTCGCCGTTAGTTCCCGAATCTTCAATCTTGACTTCCTCGAATCCCTCGTGTGTTTCGTGCTTTCTCTAGGCCTTCAATGGTGTCAAAAGTCCCAAAAACGAGTTCCTAAGGCCTCTTTTATACTGTAGGGCACTTCTGGGTCGAAAAAGGGAAGAAATCGCACAAGAATCCTATTCCACGCAGGTCTGGTCTGCGCGTCACACGAGTCGTGTCACATGCCACACGAGTCGTGTGACTTTTCTCAACATTTCGGCGAACTTCCAGACTCACACGACTGGTCACACGACCGGGTCACACGAGTCGTGTGAAGCCACACGACCCGTGTCTCAACCCACACAACTCGTGTGAAAAAGCCGTAGCTGTGTCTCTAATTTCCTCAACCCACACGACCCGTGTCACTATCCACACGAGTCGTGTGGCCTCTTTTGCATCTGTTTTCGCCGTTTTTCGTCCCGATTCCATTTCCAACGCATTTCCGAGCATATTTCCTGCAAAAACAACGACAAAAACACATCTATCATAGTTTAATAAATAAAATGAAATGGTGCACAATCACATGATAACCAGGGCCAAATATCACAATATATCACTCATAATGCATGAAAATATAATGAATGTCAACTCCCCCAAACTGAAACCCTTGTTCGCCCCCGAACAAGAATAAGAAAATCAGCACTCAAGCATAATGAGTGATATCAAACTAGAACAACTTCAAGTCCTTCAATGCAACCAAGAAAAATTTAAAAGATCATAATTATCATGCTTTGACTATTAACTTGTATCCACCTTGAATCAACGAACTCTCAAATAGGAATATATAAGTGCCTCACCCACATGTCATCAATATATAAAAAAAAAGGACACACTCGAGTCACATTGAACACCCAGTTAACTATATGTTTGTCAATCATCTAAAACTCTACTTCAAACACAATCAATAATCATGAGCTTTAAATCGAAAGGTCTTTCCAGGTTGTAATGTAGGCTATTTGGTCAAGGGTAAGATATATATGGGTTAAGTAGCTCAAATAAACAATCATACCATTCGAGTAAATAGACTACTCGACATACTCCACTACTTCTCTTTAATCAACACAAACCGTTTCTCATTCCTAAACCAAAATAATCCATACACAACTCATAAATGCTCAAATCAAATTACAAATGAAGTACTTGACCATTTTTCTCCCTTTTTTTTCTTTTTTTTTTTTTTTTTCAGAGAGTTCCATTTTTTTCCAAACAAAATCAAACTGCAAGAACAATATTCTCTAGGTCTAAACATTGGAGGTCATCAAAGTGTCCTAGAGTGGTTTCCCATTACTCATTACCCGTCAAAATAAATCAACTAGTAAGAGGAGTAGAATTCCAACAATTCGACTTGCGAGCTCTCTTTATTATCATTTTTTTTTCTTCTTTTTTTTTTCTTTCATTATTTTTTTTTCGGTCAAACACAGTAAATGCAACTCAATCATACCTCATTTCATACCCAATCATCCAATAAATAACTCCGTTATCACCATACGTCCCAAATATCAGTCGACTCTCAAAATAAGATAAACCGGTTGACAAGAAAAAAGGGTTAAGGCTCAAACGGGCTACTAGTGGAAAAATATTTTTAAGGACAAAGAACAAGGCCAAACGAGCTAAATTCAAGAACCGCCTAAATCATTTTTAAAGCTCAAAGTCATCAATGCATTTTTTCAAGAGTAGAATCAAGGCAAATTCTAATAACTCGGGTATTCAATTGACACTCACAGACAAAGAATAAAGGCTCAAATCTCACTAGACTCAATATATCGCTAATTCAAGGCTCACAAGCATTTTCATCTGGGCATGACTTTTACAATCCCATCACAATTTCTCAGTCACATCAAATTACCATTCACTATTCAAGTTTTATCCATCATTCAGCCAAAACACAAGAAATACACAAGGAATCGACTCAAGCAAATTCTTATTATATCCTACTAAAGCAAGTAAACGTGCATCCTAAAAAATAAAATAGCATAAAAAAATCATAAAAAAAAATAAAACTAATGCAAGCAAATATATGATATGCAATAAAGCGATAAAAACTCAAGATATACGACACTTTTCTCTCCCAAACTTATTCTTTGGAAAAAATTAAGTTTACGAAAAAGAAATGGCGTACACCTTAAGTAACTAACCGTCACGTCGAGAACTCCACCGTAAGCAATCCTTTCACCCTTGAGCACAATCATCTCCTCCA